CAGTGCAATCTGCTGTTGTATGAAATCGTGAGCCCAAACAGAAATACTGAAATCTAGGTAAATATGTATGTATGATTGAAATATATAGGAATATAGCTATATAAATATATAGCTCCCCTTATACTTCACTTATGGTATAAGTTCTTTAATTTTCAAACTCTGAAAGCTGCAGTGGGTGCTGTTATTCTCACTTTCACAGACAGGCAGGAAAATGTGAAGCAATTTGCTTCAAGCTGGGAACAGTCCAGTCCTGGGGCTGCTGCCATGCAATCCTTTCCCCCTAGTCATTAGACTTCACATTCTCATCATTAAAGAGTGAAAAAACTGCATCTGCTTTCTTAGTGCAGTCTGGTGCCTACCTGGGCACCTCCCTAGACATTTACAGAGCTTTTCAGTGGCACAGGGAGTCACTGAAAGATAAGACAAATCTTCCTCTGGAAGAAGTGCTAGATTAATGTGGATGTTTTCACAGCTCTCTGCATGGTGTTTGTTTCATTTTACACAGGAATATTTGCCTTATTGCTTTCAAAATGCCTGGCAGGGTGAGTGCTGTGCTTCAGTGCATTGTTTGATGAAATGAGCTGCCTGTAACACCAACCTCTATGAATACTGGAGACTTCTTTCTCTCACACATTTGTTGCCAGCCCAGACTAGTGGTTAGCTGCATGTGCAATGGGGGAAGTGCAACTCCCAAAATCAAAGACTTTCACATCTTTCATCTCTGAGGGAATCTCACAGATACCCAGGAAAGGAGATCAGGGAACTTCTAGGTGAATCAAGAAAGATGGATTTTTCTGCAGGCATCTGACGAGTCTGAGCTCATGTAGAAAGGAAATTTGACTTATACCTATGGAGTAGATACCATGAAGAGTAACACATCCTGAAATGCTGAGGCCATGTAAGCAATAAACTTATGCAGAGGTATAAAATGTTATTGTTCATTACTGTTCATCTTCATTGTTAATAGATGGAATAGGTTTAGGTGGAAATATGCATTCACAGATATATTAAGAAGATTTTAGAGAGGTGTGAGTGCCCTGTCTTACAAACCAGCTGCTACCCAGCTGGTGCTGAAGTGCTCTCTGACCAGCACAGTGGACATAGGGCTCAAGGCACTCCAGCCTTTGGCTCTAGAGCTTCCTGAGGCACTGCAACAGGAGTGCTCCAGGAAATGTGCTCCAGGAAAGCTCTGCATGGAGGATGTTCTCCTAACACCAGCAAGGTTTTGCTTTAGTATATGATTTTCTAACAACTCTTCCATTGGGGTAATTGATACTTAACACACTGGAGAAAACCACTTGTAAAGGCACTTGTAAAGTGAGAAGGGACTTAAGTCCTTTTTCTCCCTCTCCCTTCATGCGATCAGCTTATACAGAGCAATACAAGAAAAATAAATTAATCTAATATTGTATTTAATGAAAGCATTGCAGGTTTGTCAGGGATAAAACAAAGCATTGCTGAATGAAAGGGTTACTTAAAACCTGAATTTGTGTCAGGGGAGGTTTAGGTTGGATATTGGAAAAAGATTCTTCATTCAGAGGGTATTTGGGCACTAGAACAGGCTCCCCTGAGCAGTGGTCACAGCCCCAAGCCTCACAGAGCTCAAGAAGAATTTGGACAATGCTCTCAGGAACGTGGTGTGATTCTCAGGGATATCCTGTGCAGGGCCAGGAGTTGGACTTGATGATCCTCCTGGATACCTTCCAGCTCTGAATGTTCTGTGGTTCTGTGAAAATTATCCTGTACAAGAATTAGGACCATTGGGGGAAAATGTATTTTTATTGACAAAATTAAATAGGTTATGGAAGGAAAATACATTCAAAGCTCAAAAACATCAGGAAAATTGCTGATGAGATGTTTTAGGGAAAAGAAAATCTAAAAGATACATTGCTTTCTGCAGAAAGATTTCTAAACAAACTCCTAAAAATGTTCAGATATGTAACTAGAGAATTTGAAAGAAGATCTGGAGACAAAAAGCCTGGTAAAATATTTTCAGGAAGTTAGCAATTAGAATAACTGGTATTTCAGGTTGCTGTTAATTTTAAGACCCCAATCTGCTTTATACTGAAAAGTTAAAAGGCAAAGACCTGGTGTGACATGCTGATAAAATATACAATCCTAACACAAATGGAATGTTTTATGTGAGATATTGAATTACTTTGGATTTTAAAAATAAAACAGAACAGAAAATTATTTCTAGTTTAAAATTTTAATAATTTTTTTTTTCTGAAAAGAAATGAACAGTGGTGATAATGGCATAGGACTGCAGAGTAACTTGAGTCTGCATTTTCATCAAACCTTTCATAGTCTGAAAGTTCAAGCCATTTCTACTCTTAACATAGTGATTGGCAGAAGTACAGGGAAGGGAATGAACAAGTAAAATACATGTTATGTCCTCCATTACTTTCTTCCACATAAGAAAATAAATATTTCTCAGAGTTCCAAGATGTTGCAGAAGGTATAAGGATTTGGGAATGAACAATTCTCAGTCAGAGGAATCCATTAGGGACTGCTGAAAGCAGACCACCTACACACCATTTCCGACAAAGAGGGGGAAAAGAGACTTTTTTTTCAGGATTGCAACAGTTCGAGAGAGAGTATTAGAGTCAAAAGATCTATATGACTGCAATAGTTGGAAAACTGTCCTGAATTACAGGTAATACAAAGTATTAGGCTGTACATACATAATGAAGCTCCCTTTACTGAGAGGATCTTTGGGTACTGTGGTGCTGCTGCCAACCAGTGGGATGAAACTTGCTGTAGTGGAGCACAGACCAATGGAAAGCTACTAATGATACAACTGTGTTAACTTAGAAGCTTCTCCACAAGATATGAGATTGTCACATTACACCTGTGCCCAAAATACTCCTTATAAAACCAAAAAGAAACCAAAAACTATTTGAGAGATATTATTGTTCCTCTCAACAAGTGCAAGATGTAATCTAAACTTCTTAGTTACAGAAGGAGAACATGAGGGATGATTTAGAAAGGAGCCAGATTCTTCCAGTTAAAATATTCTGGCAGCTTCAGCAGTGACTGGCAGACCTGATGAAACAGAGATACATTGGATTTTAAGCCTGACAAGGATAAGCACAACTTGTAAACACCATCTGCAATATGTCCAAACCATTGGTATTGCAGAATATGGTCCTGGTTCTGCACTGGAACACAATCTCTTGTTTCATCCTCGTAAAAATGGTCAACTCTAAATTGTTTCTCTGAATGTAATAAATACAGTAGAAATAAAAACAGCAGCCGGCTCTTTCCTGGTTAAATGAAAGAATTTAGCATACAGCATGATGGTAATATTTTCATGACACCGTTTCAGGTAAACAGAGCAGTGTAACTTGCAACTTGCCCAGAAAATAAATGGCAGGGTTGCCAAGGCATTGTTACTATCACTAGCAATATAAATGGTAGGCAAATTATTTTGTGTGATCTCCTAGATTATGGCTGTTAAAATATGAGTTCGGTTTAATGTTATATTCATAGTAATTGAAATAAAGAGAATTTGATTCAGGATGTGGGCAGCAGAAAATGTGGTCTCATCATCTCACAAGTATCTGCCAGGCCAAGCTGGAGAGGGAATTTGGCTATGTGTTTGTATGCTAAATCACACTGAAGTTGTTGCACCAAACTTCTTGACCTCCAGCTCCCAAATTTATGCCATATGCTTGCTTGTGGTTTTGAGGTCTGCCACTGCACCGATGGCTTGGAAGGGTAATTGACATCAGCAGTTCTGTGCTGCGATTCACTATTTCAGTGCTGGTTATGTGCCCTCGTTCATGTGTCACCTTATTCTGTCAAAATAAACATCTTTGGCAGTGGTTGTCTACACTGTATGGTGTGATGCATCATCCTCAGAATGTGTTGTACAACAGCTGGTTGATATCATGATGTTATATCTCTAAGTATGTTTATAAGTTTAGAAGAAGATTCCACCAGTCTTGCAGATGTCAGGGATAAGTCACACTGACACGGCTGGGATAAGAAACCCTCTGAGGCTTGGTCACAATTAATCCTCTTTGTACATTAGATGGTTTTGTGTTTCCTTTGGGATGCTCTGAGCTGTTTTTTGAGGTGTAGGCTTTCTGCTCAGTGTAGCTATTTGTATACAAATGCATCCCCATATGTTTTTGAGCCATAATGCTGGTATGTGCTGTTGATAGATCTTGGCAGCTGAGTATACAGGTCATAGAATATGTATGTGTCAGACCTATCTGAAGAAATAACCCATCTGCAGGTGACAAAGAAATGAGTTTTGAACAAGAAAATTCAACCTACTAGTTAAATTTTTGCAAAATTGCTGTGTTTGCAATACGTAATGACATATATGTAATATACATGGGTATAAGCATGAGGCCATAAAAAGAAATATTTTCAAAAATCAGGCTTTTTAAGCACTTGCTGTCAGGGCAGGGTTGTTTTCACTACTTTACAACACATATATCTCTACCTGAGCTGGTTGTCTTAAGCTTCCTTTATTGACAATGGAGGTTCAGTCAATGTGGACCAGAGTGTATGGGATCCACCTCCTCTTAAAAGTCTCCTCAAACAGACTGGATCAGTTTGGAGCTAGAAATGCCTGTTTCTCTTAATTGGCTAAAGAGGGAGTTCCCAGTGATGAGCTCAGTTGTGCCTAAAATTAGACTGGAGGAATCCCAGCCATATTGCTTACTTTTGCTGCAGATTGCTGACTAAAATCTTCCATATGCAGTACAAATTTTGGGTCTAATTTTCTGCCATTCTGCCTGTTGAATAGCTATTTGTGCATGTGTAGAATGAGGCTCGCTTTCGAGTGATTTTAAATGGAAGTTTGAATTGCTTATGTTGTTTCTATTAAAAAAAATAAATTCTCCTTTGATGCATTCAGTTCCTGTGCAAGGTAAAAGACACTATACAGAATTGGGCCTGCTGGCTCTCGTTTTGGACCTCAGCTATGCAGTAAGTATTTAACATGTAATTAGCATTGATTCCTGACCAGTCTCTTCCTCTGCCAGTTCCCAGCCATCGGTGCTATGTTGGCAACGGCACGGAGTACAGAGGTATGGCAAAGACAACCATTTCTGGACACAGTTGCTTGTCTTGGGATTCAGACCTGCTGTACCAAGAGCTTCATGTTGACAGCATTGAGAAAGCAGTACAGCTTGGCTTAGGGCCATTCCCTTACTGCAGGTGAGGAAAGTTCTTGTTTGCCCTCTATTTGTCCATCAAGAGATGATGTCTTGTGGAAAGTAGAAGGGCCAGGATCTCAAAGAAGGTGTTTTCCCCGTCTCAGAAAAGCTAGACTGACTTTATCAGCCTGACAAGAGGGATTGTACAGAAGACAAGATCTGGTAGATAGCCTAAATCTGTAGCTGAGTCTGCCAAGAGAAGCTCAGACACAAAATAATGTCAAAAATTCCAAATCCCTTTTATTCCTGGGGAATGTATTTTTTCCACATGAGACCATAGTGCAAAGCTTTAAAAATTGTTCATAGATGACTACCCAAAAGAAGAAACCAATGCAGTAGCTAAATTGAAATAGTTTAATTTAATTTCTAATTCTTGAATTGTGAAAGGTGTTTTCAAAAGAGAAAAGTTAATTAGAAATGAAAAATAAAGGCATTGTATTTAAATAATGTTGAAATGGGAAGTCAAATTTATTTCTTGGATTTCTTACAAACCAAAACTATTGCCAAATAAGATTTCACAGTGTTTCCATTTTGGTTGAACCACATATTGGTAAACTACATTTCTACTGAAGTTTTCTGTGCAGCTATAGTGAAAATAGCTTGTGCTATATAGGTTTGTGCCTTCTTCTCAGTCACCTTATGTTCCCCCATCTCTGAGGTCTCCATGAGATCAATGGATATCCATAAATAAATGCTTCTATTTAGAGAGAACATCTCTCATCCAGGAGATGAGCAAATGCTAAACCCCACAAACTTTAGATGATTCTCCTTAAATTACTAGTTTATGACTAAGGTTTTCCTTGTTAACTTGTTTTTTATTTTGTGAGGGTTTTCTGTTTTGTTTTTTTATGGAAGTTAGACCAGCATGTCAGGAAAATCAGAATGCACTGCCCTTCCTAATTAGTTCAATGATAAAAAGCATGCATGCATGCTGAAAGCAGCTCTTTATCTAACAGAAACTAAAAATAAGCAATTCCTACCCCCTCCTTTAAACCCTCCCATCTAGCTTTCCAGGACTTGGTCCTTGCTCAAACACTTCAGTATCTGATTTATGGTGCCCCAGCACAATGTGGCAATTTATCTGGCAATTTATGCTTTGATAAAGCTAAAGCCATTCAATTAACATCATTTATGCCCAATATTCACTTTTAGATTTGAAATGCAAAGAACAAAATGGTGTAGGAGCTGATGTGTTCATGTTCTGTAGAGCTGAGAAAGAAGCTTTTCACTTTTTTGTCAGCTTGTTACAATTTCTGGGGATATCTCTGCTGCACTATATAATCCTGCAGATATCTTCTGCTTCAAATAGTCTAATTTAGAAACATTGTTGGCGGAAGATGACTCAACCTGTGTTGCTTCTTCAGTTCTGAGAATTTGAAACTGCTCTAATCTTTTTCTGAAGAGCAGTCAGATTGAAAAAGAAAAAAAAATTGTTGAAGAAGCTTACAATAACAGATAGCGCTTGTGATAAATCCAACTGAAATTAGAATTGCTGTTTATCTGGAGCTCTGAATTACCTTGTCTGTTTTTCTTGGTCTAATAAAGATCTTACTGTGTCTACATATTCTCCTATATTTTCTGCTCCTTTATTCTTGGAGGAGGAAACTGGGCAAACTTCTGATTACTTATAAGGCATTAATAAAGACAATTAGGCTGCACCATGGAGAAACCCTAATGGAATCAATCCGAAACCTGTTTAATGCCAAGGTAACAAAGGGCTAAATGGTTTCCTTCCTCCTCTTTTTCTCCCCCTCCTTTTTGAGGTATACAGTATTTTCTTGACGTAGACTTTCATTTCCTAAGACTCTCCAGGGAATATGAACCTGCTAATTCGTTTTTGATAGCTCTTCTTGTTACGGATTTTCTACGGAAGTACCTGTGTTGGAATGTCTTCCCTTAAAAAAGTAACGTAAAAGAGGAATCTCTCCCATGGGATTTAGTTCTGAAAATAGCTGAGCTGATATCTGCTAAAGCACTTTAGTGTGGGCTGTAGTTAAACCCTGTGAACATGCTCATGCATCCAAATACTTGTAGGCAAGTTTTACAGGTGTTTAGTCATGTGTCTATATTTCAGGTCCTAGAGAACCCTAGGCTTGGTTAGCTTTAAGATGAAGAATAATACTGAAAGGCTTCTCACCCTTGCAGGGATTAGCAGGTGCTTCAGCACTTCCTCAGGTGGCTCAAAACCTGAGAGTCCTGTCAGTCCTCTGCATGATGCAGAAAAAGCAGAAAACCTCAGGGAAGGTTGGAACAGCACTGTGATTAATGCTTGTAATTCCTTCTTCCCCTGAATTAATTAGGAATCCAGATGGTGATGAGAAGCCATGGTGTTATATCATGAAGGACAACAGTTTGTCTTGGGAGTATTGTGATGTTCCATCTTGTGGTATGTAAAGGCTTTCTTAAAATCCATGTTATGAATGAAGGAAAGAAGGAAGATTTATTGATACTACAACAAGCTTTCACTGTATAATTTTGAATGTTTTACTGTTCCCAGGAGTGTTGAAAATTTTACTGTTTGCAGTAAATCAAATGACAACAGGCTTCTTTTGCATTTTTTGGAGTTGTGACACAATCTGTGATTCTCATCCTGAAATAACTGTGGTGTCACAGTTCTGTTTTCAGTCACAATCATTCCAATATCCCCAGATTCTCTGCTAGAACATGTAAGATGTCAGAAATGATTGATGCTTTGGTACAAATTGTCATCACTCAGGGAATTACAGGCCCAGAGAATGGAATGGGCCCTTGTGAGCAATGAGAGGTCTGCATTCTGAACATATATGAGACATAGTATTTCATTCCAAAGACTAAAGATTCTGCTCTTCCCCTCAATTAATATTTACCTGTGAATTATGTTGAAGATGACCTTTAGAAAAGAGTTGTAATTTGAAAAGTCAGTTTATAAAGTGCTTGTTTTATTGCTCTTTTATGGTTTTAAAGCATTTGATAGATGATATTGACACAAATGCCTTAGTCCTTGCTATTGCAATGGCAAAGCTCAGTCCAGAATCAACAAGCGAAGATGTGATGTATCATGCATAATGGGAAGGTTGTACTTGTACTGGTAAATGAAACAATGTCTGGGAATGTTTGCAGGCGCATTTAAATTACACTAGTACATGTGTAGCCAGTGTTGGGAACAAGCACAACTTTCTGTCTTGCAGTCTCTCAAGGAACTGAATAAAATTCAGGTGTATGTGAATGTTTAAGGATAATGTTCAGCCTGGGGAAGAGAAGGCTCCAGAAAGACCTTCCAGTACCTAAAGGGTCTGCAAGAGAGCTAGAGGCCTTTACAGGCGCATTTAAATTACACTAGTACATGTGTAGCCAGTGTTGGGAACAAGCACAACTTTCTGTCTTGCAGTCTCTCAAGGAACTGAATAAAATTCAGGTGTATGTGAATGTTTAAGGATAATGTTCAGCCTGGGGAAGAGAAGGCTCCAGAAAGACCTTCCAGTACCTAAAGGGTCTGCAAGAGAGCTAGAGGCCTTTACAAGGAGCTGTAGTGACAGGGGGGAATGGAATGGCTTTAAACTGACATAGGGGAGGTTTAGATTGAATATTGGGAAGAAATTATTTACTGTGAGGGTGGTGAGGAAGCTGTGGATGCCTCATCCCTGGAACTGTCCAAAGTCTGGTTGGATGGGGCTTTGAGCAGCCTGGGTTAGTGGAAGGTGTCCCTGCCCATAGCAGGGAGGTTGGAACTAGGTGGTCTTGAAGGTCCCTTCGAACTCAAGCTATTCTGTGATTCTATGGTTTAATGAGCCTTTCTTTTAAAGAATTCTATAGAAGTTACAGTTCTCAGAAATCACAAGGATTTATAGTCTGATGCCATATTCCTTTTTATCCCAGCAAGCAGGGAAAGGAGGCCACCACGTCCAGACAAGGCAGATAGTCCTGTAGTGCCCAATAGACCATGTGGGAGAAGACATAAAAAAAGAAATTTTGTGAGACCTAGGATTGTCGGGGGATCTTCATCTCTGCCTGGATCTCATCCCTGGACAGCAGCTATATACATTGGAGAGAGTTTCTGCGGTGGAAGCCTCATTCAGACTTGCTGGGTTGTATCAGCAGCACACTGCTTTGCTAACAGGTAAACTCACCCCTTAATGTGACAGTAGGTCCTCACAACAAACCTGATCTGAAATAAGTAAGAAAGAAGATGAAAGTATAAAAGACCAATGGAAAAGGAAATGGCAAAAGGAATTTTTGGCAATTTGAATGTTGTTCAAAAGCTAAAAATAGCTTGGAGTCCTATAATCTCATAAGCCTTTATCTTATTCCTTAAGGAGTCACAAAGAAGATAAATGACCCAGCTGAAGGAATAAGGACTGAGGTAGGGTGAAGCAGGACATAGAAGAAGTGCTTGCACGTGCAAGAATCTTCAGGGGGAATAGAAGTATTTCTCTTCTTCTCAGTTACCTTTTTGAAAGTTTATGCCTGTTTTGAGCTGCAACAGAGGTGAACAGGCTCACTGCTGTGTTTTGTTCAAAAAAGGCTGAGACAGTCAAGAAATGGTTTATTAGAGGCAATAAATTACCGTTGGTTGACACAAATAGAGTGGCTTTAAAAAAAAGCCACAGGGAAGAACTAAACTTTTGTTTAAAAAGTTAAACTCTTGAGGCTGATTTTGCTGAGAAATAAGATGTGGCTTCTTTTCTTCTTAAATCCTGTGGGACACTGGAGAAAATATTGACTATAGGATGCTCTAATATTATTCTAAAGACTTAATTTTTCCCAAATGTTGAACACTTCCCCTGATTTCAGTTTGATTGCATTGAAGGGAAAAATATTACATCATTTCATACCCATTGTTCCTTTGCATAGTAAAGAAGCCAAGAGAAACAGAAAACCTTGTGCCAGAATACATACACTGATAGCTTGTAGTGCTAATAATACCACTGTGAATGCTGTACTGAAGCATTTGGAGCTTGAGCCATAACGCATTTGTTTTTCAAATGTTGTGAAATAGCTACTAACTTTGGCAGCTATTCCCATTTCCACCCACTTCCAGCTGGTGGTTTGGTACATACAGATTTTGCATAATTGCTGCATTGTAATTTGCTCTCTTCTGTTTGTTTAGTACCTCTGATAGTCACAATTCCTACTGTTTTCCACTAGGCGACAATAGATACCTGTGCAGCTCAATTATTATTATTTTTTTTCCCTTTTCTGTAACCCCTCCTGTTTTATTTCTTTTCCTGAATGAACCATCTGTAAGTCATAGTAGAACCATTCAGTGCTTCTAAAATCTATTCTAAAAACTGTTCCAGAAAGTGAACTTCCACTCTGTTTTATGAGCCCAAAATTTGATTTGCAAGGAGATTGGTTTACTACTGCAAGAACACAGAAAATTGTGGCTTTGCATACTGATCAAGGAATATTTTTTGTCTTCTTGTATTCCAATAATACAAAATAAAATTTGCCCTTTCATTTGTTAACTCTAAGCATAGTTCTTGTTGCAGGGTCACTGCTGGCTCTCTGAATTTCAATTAGCCAGAATCACTTTCCTCTAAGTCCATGACTGCTGGTCATTGCTTCATGGTGCTTTTGTATCTGATGGGCACAGAAATACAACCAGGCAAACTGCAATGACATTAACCATTCTGCATCTGTGCATGATGTGTGACAGCAGATATTTTCTACTCTTGTACAGGATAACAAAACATATGAGTGCTGCAATGTTGAAGACACTTTCTAGCTAAATTCATTGTAGACTTATGCACATGCAGATTGAATTGTTTTAAAAACAAATGTGAAATGTAAATTCTTATGCTTTCAAAGCCAGAGTATATATTGTCATTCCCAAACACTTCTGACTATTCCCAAATGTCCCTTGCTTCCCAACTGCTGTACAGGTTTTTATTAGATTTCTGTCCTAGGACACTGGATATGAGAGGACTGTGGTCTTTTTAAAGTAAAAAAATGGTAGTTGAAAAAGATGGTGTGAATTACAAAAATTATATTCTCCTCTGATTGTGGTTTTTCCCACTAGATCTGTGTGCTGTTGGGACCTTCCTTCACCAAGTCACTTTTGACTCTGGACAGTGGATTTAACACAGATCAATCTAATCTCAGTGCAGAAGTGGTGATAACTTTTAAGTGGAAGCTGCCTAGATATTCCTCAGTTGCGCCAGCACCTTCAAAATCTTGGTTGGTGCCTGTAATTTTTGCAGGAGCCTGGTTTCCCAGAGAAATGAGATATCCACCACTGACTCATCTTTTGATCCCTCCTTTCTTTCTCAGTAATTTTTGTACTAATTGGTAAAGTCTGGTTGAAGTTGACTCAGTCAAGTTACTAGAACAAAAAGTGCCTAGAGCCCCCCAAAATGCTTGTTTGCCTGACAGCAGCTGGGCAGCAGTGCCTGTGCTAGCCTTTTCCTTCTGTCAAGAAGCAGCAGCCTTTAATTAGGCTAATCAGGACCCACAGAGCCTGGGTCTCATTGTAACATTAGTTACCTTTTTTCTTACCCTTTTTCTAACCTCTTTCCCAAGGCAGCTTGGGAAACAGGTTAAGGCATTATGAGAGGGTAAATAATGGACGTGATGGGAGTCTGAGGGTATAAGAGTTCATAGGATATGCAGCTATTGGAAAATAGGCTGCATTTGTCCTGCTAATGACAGAACTGCTTGTTCTCTCTTTTGTATTGCAGTCCATTAAAATCCACTATTAGAGTAGTTCTGGGGCAGCAAATATTTAATAAAACGACTGATGTAACACAGACATTTGAAATAGAGAAATACATCTTGCATCCTCAGTATTCTGTGTTCAACCCCACTGACCATGATATTGGTGAGTATTTTTGTTCCTACAGTTTTATTTTCTGTTTATTCAACTTAGTTTCAAGTTTAATTGGTCTGTTAAAAACTTCCTTCATTGTGGAAAAATCATAGATACTAGAGAGGCTTTTAAGAACAGAGGTTTTTGAGTTCTACCAGAGTTACAACAGCATCTGAAAGATAGACAAATTCAGACAAAAAATAAATTGCAAATTTTAAATAATTATGATAATTAGCCTTTGGAGCAATTTGCCTAGATGTGTGGCAGATTCATCATCGCTTCAAGTCTTTGTGAGATTAGGCATTTTTTCAGCAGAACCAGAAACTGTGGGCTTGATGCAGGAATTACTTGGTAAAATTCTATTGTCTGTATTGTATAAAGGATCTGACTAGATGAATATAATAACCCTATCTGCTCTGAAAATCTGTGTTACTAAGAATCATTTTTTACACTGAGATAGATTCAAAAATCAGTCTTTAACAAAAATCTATCTTATCAGTCAGAAGTTAAATGCCCTTCTGATTGACCTTATAATATTAGTCAGAATGACAATGGAACAGCAGGTCACTTCTTATTTTCTGATCTGCTCTTGTGGAAGGTGGCATGTCACCCCAGGGTATCAAGCTGTGTGAGCACTTTGCCTATGTCTATCTAATAGCCTGACGTTGGGAATATTTTAGATAAGGCAGGTACTGGGTTTTTTGCTCCCAGATGGTGAGTATTTTCCACTCTGTAGCAAAAAGCATTCAGATTCTATGTTGGTGGGAGCTCTGTCACATCGTACCAGGAAAAGAACTAGATTTGGAGCATTACTCTGCTCTGAAATAACCTGGTGTAACCCACTGTTGACACATTGAGATATCAGCTTTTTTAATTGCTCTGAAATTTGGCATGCCTCACCAGTGTGCAGTGTCCAAATCCAGGGAGAGCTGAGCATGAAGTGCCTAAGACTTTGCTAAAACAAACAAGCAGGCAGAAACCAGGAGGGAAGATGTGAGGGCATGTACTGTACAGTCAGTGATTTCTACTGCTGCAACAGAAGAGTTGTTTGCTGCTGAAAACACTTAAGGAAACAATCACATGAATGCTTACTAGGAAGTTTGGGGGATTTAGAAACAGGCAGAGCTGGTGGGAAAAAGGAAAAAGGTGAGGAAGAGCAAGCTTCTGTGTGTTGGAGCAAGGTTTGTGTGGGTTTTTCAGCCTGTGAGATACTCTTCTCATGTTCCACCAAGACCAAAAATCCTAGTCAGTAGAGAAATAAGACTGTCCAGTGGGATCACTTGCTTTCCACACAGCTGTGCTCACAAAACCTGAAGCTTCCAAAAGGTGTGATGAGAAGGTTCAAGTGTGTTCACATTACTTCAGCTCTGTCCTCTTTGAGTAGTGTGGTCAAACCAAACATGCTGCCCTTGTTCCACCAAGCACAAAGTTGCCTCTGCTGCTCCACAGCCAAATGCAAGAGGTTTGCTGCAGGGGAACCTGCTTCAGGGGAACCAACCTTTGAAATCTTCTTTCAGTACCAATCTCATTATGCTGCTCAGCTCCATATTTACACTGTTTTGAGCCCCATGAGGGGTTGGTAAATGTTGTGTGGGATGTGCAATTCTTTGTAGCTTTCAGAAGTTTGGTTTTGAAATATCCTGGTTTTTTATTCGTTAATTTTCAAGATCTTAAATTTTGCTGAACTCAGTGATAACAGAGCATGAGATACACCAGCCCTTGGAGTGATTAATTTTTTAAGTGGAATTGGAATTAGGCAGGTGGCCAGGCTTTGAGAAACAGTGAGGGCTTGTACATCCCACTTATTTCAGCTGAAAGTTGGGGATATGTCACTGTTACTTAACTTTAAGGTGGGAGGAGACATACGTATTTTCTATCTTCCCCCTTCTCCACAAAGGCAGTGAAGCAAAATCTGCTCAGTGAGCACAGCATAAAATAAATATTCCCACAAGGGGAGTAGCTGAATGTTTCAGCCTTCAATTTGCTGTGAAATCTGGTGCTGTTGAGATGAGTCTGTCTGTCTTTGATTGAAATATCTTAATTAAGAGAGGCTTAGGGGATAATTAAATTTGTATCTGAGACCCATTGCTGCCAATCCCATTAAAGAAAGGGAACAATCACTTTCTTCCTCCTATATTTTCTGTTCTGCAGCTTTGATTAAGCTGAAGAAGCATGGCCAACGTTGTGCCGTCAAGTCCCAGTTCGTTCAGCCTATCTGCTTGCCAGAAAGTGACACTGTTTTCCCTGACAAGTTGAAATGTCAGATTTCTGGATGGGGACACAAACATGAGAGTGAGTAAAATGAGTGTTGGTGTCTGTAGAGAAAGAATAATGCTAATAAAAATATAATGCTCAAGCATATGTTATACAACTGAGAGTTTGGTAGAATATTTTGCAAGGGACTCCTGGTGGGATTTTTTTATCCACCTTTAAATGTTTGCAACATCTGTGTTACACCATCTGAAATAGTCAGCCTGAACTTCCTCTATAGTCCTTGGAATTTGGAGTGTGGTTCACTTGACCAAATGTTTGCATCAATTTTACGATGAGATGAGCTATGACCTAGCTAGATCTCTGTGGACTGGGAGGGGAACAAGCAGCTTGTTGCAGGTGCCAACCAAGTTGTAGATGCCAAAATCCTGTGAATCCTAACCCTGGTTTCTCCAGGTAGATATCAAAGACTGCAAACCAAACACAATCAGTTCGCCAGTCTGTGCTGGAGGAGATCTTTACCTTCACCAGCAAGAAACTTTGGAAACATCTTATAGGAGAAGGCCAGATAGACTTTGGGATAAGAATTGCTTACATCCAGCTTGAGAAATGGCACAGAGTTTCACCAGAAGATCCGAAAGTGATCAGATCACTATAAAAATTATTATCTTTTAAAGGCATCCACAATGTGTATATTACTGAGAGGTGTTAAGTGTGTCTATATGTTGTATTGTGCCTTGAGTTTTCTTGTAATGCTCTTGATATTCTATAAAAATTACTTTCTTTTCCTTTCTGGGAATTTTTTAAAGATATATCTGGTTATTCAGATGTCCTGCAAGAAACGCTCGTTCCACTTATTCCTGAGGAGAAGTGCAGAAGCCCTGAAATTTATGGAACAGAACTCACTGAAAATATGTTCTGTGCTGGCTACTTCGATAGCAAAGCTGATGCTTGTCAGGTAATGCTGTGAGTCACCTCCAGGCAGAGGATGGAAATGTATATTATTGCCAGAAATGTTGAAGTGTTACAATGCTTCCTTTTGATATTACAGTGTTCCTAGAGAAAAGAAACTTTCCTAAAGCAAAGAACCTTATGTGACTGCACTCTTTGCTTCCACCTTGATTTTTTAACCTGTTCAATGTCAATGAAGTTCTACAGAAGGGCTCCAGGGTGTTATATTCCTCCTACCTTCACATCAGGCAGTGGTTATGCACTGGGGGGTGTGTTGCTTTAGCTCCTGACTGAGCCTGCAGAGTGGTGGCTTTGCCAGCTGGTGTTTGCCAGCACACTGACAGGGATGTGCCTGCATGAACCTGTGTGGGGCCAAATCCCCAAGCTGCTGCCTGTTGCCTGAGGGGAAATAAGGATACCTGAGTAGGAGGTGAGGTTTGGAGTAAGAAGGAGCTGAGGATTCTACAGTAGATGGGATTGAATAATATAGAATGTAAGTCAATTGGAAATTGTTTTGTAATTTCAGTCCTTCATGGAATGATCTCATGCTCTTACTATTTTTCCTCTATGCTCTCATAGATGCATGCTCTTACTACTTTAAATAATCTCACATCTTGGCTCTGAATAAGGATGCAGAATTGTTGTGGTGATAGATGAGACTTTTTAAAACAAAGTATCAGATTATTCCTTACATAAAACTTCAGATTTTATCTTCAGTTCATTCTGAAGGAGGAGGCTTGTGCTCTAATAGCATAAATTTGTGAAAAGACATAGGTAATAGGACATAGGTAATAGTTGGCAGTGAGATTAAGTGAAGCAAAGAATATCAGGTATATTGTGTGCTGGAAGCCCTTTAGAGATCATAAACCTGTCCAAAGAAAGGTGTCAAGAGTGAAATAGCTGCAGCCAGTAGTGGCTCAAGGTTTCCAGGCCAGGGCTGAGGACAGATGGTAGTTACTGGCTGCAAGTGTTCATACTAACCAGAGAGCTAGAAACTGCCCTGCTTACTCAGCTTTCCTTGCCTTAGCCAGAAAGTGCAAATACAAGATGCAGCAGAGCTGATTCTCTCTCCCTGCCTTGGAAAACAGAGTTGATCAGGAATGAGAGGGAGAAAGAAGAAAGAGGAGGGAAGGAGAAAGGAGCTGCACAAAGACAAGTGGTCTGGAGAGAATTGTGAAGTCTGAGAAGCAGCAATTTAGAGTCACAGATGTTGCTGAAGAACAGTGCTCATGACATGAAATCATTATCAGTGAATCAATAATTCATTTTCTCCCTGTTCTCAGCTTGTAGTGTGGTCTGAGGAGGAATGGTGTAGGCCTCTTAATGTCACAACAGATGTAGCTGACCTCTGGGTTTTCTTAACGTATACTTAGGATACTAACCGATAAACATCTGCTGTGTATAAAAAATTTTCAAGACCAAGAAATGCCAAGCAGATAGTGTGTTTTCCTAGATTATTTTGAAAAAGATTTTTTGTAGGCATTTTTAATCAGTGCACTGATACCAAAATTGCAATCAATGAGACTAGTTGTGGAAAATAAGCAAGGCTCTGAGAAGTAAATGATCTCAGGTGCAAGACTTCATTTGATGTGCCTCATTTTTCACAGGTATCTTGTATAAAAGCAACACAATTTTCCTACCTACTTTGCTCTCAAAGAATTTTCTTTTGAAATAGGAAAATATGTATTTCTCCTTGATCTCAAATAACTAGTGAAAGCTCCTTTCACCCGTGCCATTTACTAAGTCACATTTTTCTTTCCATTTCTAATGTTTTAATTACTGTAGAAAGTCAATCTAATAGTGATAATAATAATAAAAAACCCTTTCCTGAATGTTTGCAAGATTTAAAATAAGTAGAAGTGTTCCAAATTTATCCTTGCTGTAGTGTAGTTTGGTCTAGTTTTTGGTTTATGGTTATAATGACAAGGTAAATGCTCAGTAGCTTTCAGATTCAACAGATGCAAAAACCCCATATGCCACATAAAATTACAGCATCCCACAACCACATGGAAAAGTGTGTCTGTATGCAACACCTTTCTTTGAAAACTCTGATGTTCTCTGACAGTTGCAATAAACTGCATTGAGAAACTCTCCAAATATTCTCTGCCTTATGTAACCCATCCAGGCAGGGCCAATATTGCAGCATAGCGTGAAGCCTCAAACACTTCCTTACTCCCATTGAAAGTGTTCCAAATCAACCATTTTTCAGTAGGTGCCTGAATCTAAAAGAATTCAGTATTTTTAAACAAATTCGGGTATTTTGATACTTTTATTCAATGTAGAGTTAAAAAAAAATCCACCATTATAGTAGAGGCATGACTAAAACATCTCTCTGGAATGAAACTTCAGTAAACTCCTGGGTTGCTTTTTTCTTGTTTGGTTTTGTTTGGTTTTTTTGGTGTTTGTTTTAGTTTCAATCCCACATGCAAACATTCTTAAGTTAGGACTTTCCCAAACTCATCTTTTTCTGACTGCTTTCTATCAAATTAGATAATCTTTGCTTACTTTTAATGCAGGGAGATTCTGGTGGACCTCTGGCCTGTGAGAAAAATGAGATGTCTTACCTCTATGGAATTATCAGCTGGGGAGATGGCTGTGGCAGAGCCAACAAACCTGGAGTATACACACGAGTGACAAACTATGTAAACTGGATTAATGAGAAAATAACCCCCCGAAAAGCTAGTTGAACAGTTAAATATGCTAAGATTTGAAGCAGGGTTCAAGAGTCTTTTGGTTTCATTAAAGTGGCATAAATATTTTCTTATGAGCTGGTATGAAAAGGTAATTGTAATTCCTAGCAATTCCAAGGTGGACCACTAAAAGTAGACCTGCTCCATCTGATGTCAGCAGCCTTGATCTAGAGTTCTAGGTCTGTGGATTGCTCTACATACATGGCTGTCTTCGTTTGTCCTAATAAAAAACCAAAAACATGTTGAGACTGCACAAAAATCTGCAACTCTCTGTCTGCTTGGTGGATAACATAAGAAGTGATTTGATGCGTTTCTGGTGGAGTTTCTGGTGGAGCTATTGTCCCCCAAACCAACCCATAACAATGTTGTCCTTATATTCTCAGATGAGATTAAAAAATAAACAGGAGGAGCACCAAAAATGAAATTCCCTATTTCTCAGAAGTGATGTCTTGAAGTTCAGGTCAAAAGTCACTAATAGAACAATATAAGTGAAGCTGATCTTCAGCTAACTGCAACAAAACAGTTCTAGGAAAAAAACCCAGAGGGTTTAGGTTTTGTTTCAAGCAAGCACGTAAGCATATTTTTATATAAATATTTTTCTCTGTTCCACTGACGTAAAATCAGGAACATGCCTCAGAGCTCTGCTGAATCCGATGTGCAATTTTCCAGCAAGGCTAATGCAACACCTCCTGAGAGTTTCTGTCTGAGAAATGTTGGAAGTCAGAGCACCTGATTTCAGGCTGATACAGCCAGGACCTCTTGCGGATTGATCTGCTCCTTGCCCTGAGGATAGCAATGGAAATACTTCACCTTGATGATAAATCCCTAAATGTTTCTTAAATTTGACAGTGTTTTGAAGATGTCTTAGGTTTTGTACTAACACGTTGTTCAGCTGTTTAGATAATTCAGAGAGGAGGTTTCTCTTCACAGATTTTTCAACTGGATGGCTGGGGGAGCAGCTTGACATTTTCCTCGGGGATTTGGTGATATCATAAACCACAGGCTTTGCTGTCATGGTCTATGGAATTGTTATGGGAACAATCAAAGAAATTATTACAATATATAGTTGTTTAGAGGCTGTGGACTCAGCTGTGTTATCAAAAAAAGGCAGAAAATGATTCAACAAAAGAAAATCTGTCAAAGAATGGAAAATTCCAGCATTTTTGTTATTTTTTTTAATATGAGGAACCTTGAGCCTTGTGAGAAGTGTACATTTGAAGTGTTGATGTGAAATGTATTTCTTCCCTGGTAGTGAACATTTATGAATTCTTTGAATTTTGAAGCAAAAATTGCTGTGCTTTAAGGTATAGCATTTTAAACTGGTGCCTAGATACTCAGATATGTGTTTTGTTTTATTGCACTGGCAGTGTCCTCACGAGTTTCTTAGTAGCTGTGAATA